TACATGGGGGAAGGCGTCGGTCCGTCGTCGCCCACAGCGAGCACGCAGGCGGGAGCGATGGCGCCGTGTGTGCCATCAGGGGATGGCGGTGTTGGTGGCGGGGCCGATGGATGACGCTCAGATAACGGAGCCATCACCGTGATGGAGGATAGCGCCCGGGGCATATCGCTCGGGGGGGCTTACAGGCGTAGGAGGGGTCTTCCAAATGCATACTTGGTATATTTTAGAAAGATATCAGCGTGCTAGTGGCTCTTACGCAAATTGCGCGAATTAGCGTGGCAAACAGGGGGGGGTATGTCACGCTTATAAGTTTTAAAATACGTAAGCTCCAGGTGAAAAATACCTTATTTCCAGCCTGCAGTGCTTCGGGCGACCGCGGTGCGTCGGTTGTGCCACTTAGTACCCTTCGACGACTTCGACGACTACCTCAGTTTCGCTCATACATCCGCCCGAGCTGTGTAAAATTACTGGAAAGAGCAGACCGTTTATGTACCGAGCTACTGCAGAACCCTCTTCACCTTTCCCCCCGGGGCCGTCCGATCAAAACAATGACAGGCCGCTCACCGTACGCTACGCGGGAGGAATAACTCCAGGCAGAAACGCGCCACCGCCTTTGTTCTTCTCATACCACTCCCAATCATGAGCGAGCAGAACATGGACCTTTGGGACCTTGAGCAACGAGCCCACCCTGCGGATGTGCTCGATGGCGATGTCCTTGTGCTCATGCGCGCAAAGTGATTGTCCGCTTGCGTCTATCTTAAACGCAACCTCTTTCTCGCCAGTGAGCAGACGCGTGTCGTACGCAGAGTCGCCGCCGAGGAAGATCCACGAGCCGTCGCGCGACGTGCGCGCCAGGACGTTGATGTGCCCGTCGACATGACCCGGCGCCTCCACGAGATAGGGGCTGCCGTCACCGAAGTAGTCATACGCGCGAGGAAAGGGGCCGACAGACATCGAGAAGTCTGACGACGATAGGAAGCGCGTGCGCTCGACTGGGATTGATTGCCAGATGGCTGACTTTGGGTCGGTGGGATACCCAGATTCGATGAGCTCCCGGCTGCCTGGACCGACGATGAAAGTCGCATTCGGGAACGCATCGGGATTACCGATGCTACAAACAATGAAAATCGAATAGTTAATAAACTTGACGTGTAAGTTAAGCAGCAGACTGCTCACTGATCAAAGTGCAAGTGGCTGAGGATGACGGTCTGCACCGCCTCCGGGGGAATGCCGCCTGCCTTCAGCGACTCCTCGGCGCTCTGAGGCACTGTAACAGTCCCAAAGACTTTGAGGATGGCGTGGACTGGGGGAGGATAGGCCTCGATATCGCGACGTAAGCCCAGATCAAAAACCAGGTGCGTGCCGGAGGGCTTGTGGATGATGGAGAAGGCAAGAGCAGGGCCTCTGACGACCTCCCCCGAAGTCGCACCTTGGACAAAGTAGATGAGAGGAAGGTTGATTATGCCCGCTTCCAGCGCGGAGACCTCGACGTATGCCTGGTCAGGCTGAGGTTTTGGCAGCGAGAAATCCTAAGTGGTCATGGTGCGTGAGCCTAAGGTCGACTTCTTTCAAAACGCGGTGTACGAGACTCGACTGGTGACTGACAACTGCAAGGCCTCGTATATATCACTACATCCCGGCTAGCTGGATTCCAGTGTGTACGTACTCGTGCGACGTCAGCGTACGACGTGGCAGCAAACCCTACTGTCACGTGCCCAGAAGTCGGCCAGTCTATGGCATTTTGCTCCATACTTGTGAGGAGGGGGGGTTGGACCCTCTTACAGCTTACAGACTAGACTCTGCGTTTGCAGACATGACTCGGATTAAAAGCACAAAGCATCGCGCGAAGTTACCATTTTGGGACGACGTCAGAAAAAATTTAATTATTTCCCGAACCAGCTGGAAACTCCGCATGCGCCGTTGCACTTGCTCCCCCGCCCTTCATCTCGCCAGACGCATACAGTGGCCTGGAAAAACGGAGCCCATGGTGCTGTCCGATGCCTGAGATTCGAGTGAAATAGGGGTCGACGCAGGTATACGGTGGGCTCGCCGACGTTTAGTGTACAGTATACGGGGCAATTCGCTAGTGACCAAGAGTGACGCCGCCGCAACAGCGGCCGACTGGGACTCTCCATTGGCAGCAAATTCGTCCTCGTCTTCCAACGGCTGCCAGTAGAGTGTTAAGTCGTCTACAAGTGATAGCGTGTCAGCGCTTGCACTTTCAAACTCCGCTTACAAAATAAAATATTCCATTTCTTCGCGATCGACCACTGGGACAACCGCACTGCGGATCTTTTTGCGTCTCTTGTATAGATGCTGACCACCCTTGGCACTGCGCCGTCAATGATCAGACGTCCTACGTGGTCCTAAGTGTGCGTTAGCAACCAGAATAGCCGCATGTCTACTGCTTTCTCAGCTACTTACTGAAAACATGGCAGCAAATCTGACGACGCAAATGTCAGGTTGTTTCATCAAAAAACACGCAAGAGACGTACGTCGCTCCAAGCACAGTCTCATACCTAATAATCCACACCAGCCATTGCAAGAGTCCTACCGACTGTCACGGCTTACAAGAATCCCCAGTACCGAATCTTGTCAAATCCATGGGCCCGCATGATATTCAGCATGTCCCTCGCAACCAACGCCGTGCCAACGTACGGCGTAGACCGTCTGGTTCACGAGCGTCCCGAACACCTGGGCCTTGGCCCACAACCGTGGCACGGCGTCGGCCATCGTGTTCGGCGCGGGATCCTCCAGTGCGCGCAGGCGCCACGTTGCGTCCTCGGCTTAGCCCTCGAAGACGACAAAGGGTAGGGTCATGCGCGAGACGCCACTACTGCCTGTCAGACTCGGGATGAAGGTAAGAGTGATGGATACGACGCACTGCGGGTCGAAGCCGACGATGTCGAATTCGTCGCTAATGGGCTTCTGGAAGGTGGCACCCAGCCCGACGACGGAGCCGACGCCCGAGCCACCGGGGCCGCCTGTAGCGCGCAGCACCCATGAATAAGCGGAAGTAGCACAGAAGCGTGACTACATGGCTCATACCAGGGTTGAAGAGGATCGGGCCTTTGTAGTTCTTGTCGCCCGGGAAGAACTCGTGATACTTTCTTTGGCGCTACGGGCACAGCGGTATAATGTTTCCACCTCCTGAGAACATCAGCCTAAGCTGCCATCGATAACTTATCAGTGGTGTGTAGGTCACTGTTCTAAGAGAACCCCGCGGCTATGGACACCCGAACGTGGTGTATTACAGCGGCACTTTCTCGTTGGCATAGCCCATTTTTACTCAGTCATCAAGCACTCCAGGCCACAAACAACATCGTGTCAAGTACACCTATACGCGTATGTAGGTAGCGTTCGAACCCTTTGACATATCTAGCGCACTAACCACTGAGTTTGCGAATTTCCATCGAGTATCAATGATCCCAACTTCCAGCTGTCCTCACCCAAAGTGGCTGTTGGAGCTCATGCCCAACCGGCAATGTATTGTGCTTGTTTGTGCCCTCAGTATGCCAGGTGTCAGATATTCTGCGATGCAACTGACGTTTAGACGGGAGCTTATACGTAGGTTTCCGTGCTTTTGACTTCGCCATGTGCACACCCAGTGCAGCGCGAGTACAAATGCACGGGACGCTGGTGGTCATCAGTGCCGCGCTCTTCCTTCACCCGATCAGCCAAGGCTCCCAAGGCTCTTGGGACGTATGTTCCAGACATCCTCGAAGACGGTGTTGACCGATCCCGGTACATTCGCGGGTGACGCGTGAGTCATCAACAAATATGCGGCACTGCGTGCTATACTCATATTTGAACGACTGGCCAGAGCAGTGCAGAACTATGTTTGTGCGGCGATGATGAGTGCGTCTCGAACCGTGCGCGACCTACTAGTGGATAGCTAAACCATCTCTCAGCTCTCATACTCTGGGACCATGTGATCACGCTCTCAGGGGAGATCCGCTTCATCTGGCGACGAAAGCTGTCGTTGGTCACTGCTCTTTTCATCATAAATCGGTATGGCGTACTTGTGTACGGCGCTCTTGCGATTGCTACGGAGTTCGTGGACGGTCAAGCTGTGCGTCTTCGTGCTTCATAAATGTTGTACACAAGCTGATGAAAACTGTGGACTTCCAGAGGTCCGTCCCTTGGCCATCAATCAGGATTTCTTGCACACAGCTCACGTTATATACCACAGCTGTACTTACTTGACTCGAGTCACGGAGACTATGGTCCTGCTGCTGATGTTATTGTTTGGCAGTGAGCATTCTCATAACACTCCGGGTACGGAAGCTGATGGCCTATTAGTCTGCTCTGCACTCCGAACATACGCTCTCTGGAACAAGAATCTACAGCTCTTCCTAGTTGTCCTCACGTTAAACCTGATCCCATTTGGCGCCAACCTTGTACGCTTGCATCCTGCGTCCAAATGAGCGCCGACACTGATCCATGGCGATGTCAAGTACCTATACATTTCTGTGACACCTATAACAACCAGGGTTACGACAACAGTATCGTGTCTCTCATATATGCCCCTAACGGGTCATGAGCAAATACAGTGCGTGTGCAACGTATCTCACAAATAACTCTACATTCTCAAAAGTTTCTCGTACAGAAGTGAGTGGTGGAGTTGTTGTGTGCTCGATACCCGACCTGATTTCTACGCAAAGTGATAGCTGCAGCGCGAGTGTCAACCATACTAGTAGACATCATCGTGTTATCTGTGACGTTGATCAAAACCTTCGAGACTCAAAGGGTAGCGAACAGGTTGCACGTGCAGGTTCCGCTCACCACTATGTTGATTCGTGACGGTCTGTAACTCTTGCCCTCTGCCCTCTGTTGTGTCTGTGCTGATCCCACTGCAGGCACGATATATTTCTTGTACGTCTTCCTCAGTCCTATCGCTTGGGCCTACCGCATTGGTATTTAATCTCCGTGTCAGGACAGTCCTGTCGATGAACATCGCCCAATTGGTCGTGTTTCACACAACGGTACACACTCTCCTGTCCTGGAATGGCGGTCCGCATTGCGCGCGTGCCTGACTCCGCTCCTTAGGAACAAGTCTACCTTATCTCCTTCATCTGCACGTGAGTCACCGGTAGCTGGCACCTTGCATTGTTTCTGACGCACCAAGAAGCGTTACTGCGATCCTGGTATCGCGTTTCTTCTTGGACCTTCGCGAGACCGCGACAGGCGGGCTGGAGTATAATACCTTCAGACCGGACGACTCCTGTGAGCGGACGACGCCCCTAGGCCGTGACCTCGAGGAATTAGTGCTAGACACACCGATTATCACAGAATGCGGGTCTACCTCTGACTCGCACGAGACCCCCGGGGGTATACAGGAGGTATGGGGACGAGTTGCACCTCAAATGCGCATGCTCGTTGAGAATCAATACTACCAGGTTCTGCGGGACAATGCAGCCACTCCGTGACTGGGTGATGCATGGTGATTGACGAGCCCAACAAGTCCGTCGGAGTTTACAGGCATATCTTTATCTTAGAGCGTTATTAATTCTGTCGTGATCGCCTGCGCTGGTCATCGCAGCACCCGGCGTGCAGAGCGGGACCTGAGCACTTCCTTTTGCTCAGGCGATGGGCTGGGCCGTTCATCTCAGGACACTGAGAAAGTGCCGTTCACGAACCTTGCGTGGTCTGTAGACCTCTCATCAGAACCGCCTTCAAATTTGGGCCCTCCCTGTAGGTTCAACTGAGACAAGATTAGCATGAAGAAGTTTCGATCCAGGGGACCAGTATCAATCGACCATTTATCCCTCAAGAAGCCAGTCCCCACGGAGTTCGAGAAATCAGTTTCGCTCACTTCTTCCAGATGCGATCAGAACCGCTACCAGCCTTGAGCTTAACGAGGTCGGCAACCCTCTCGCCTATAGCATAACATGATGCAGCCTGTAAACCACCGCTTCAGCGACGAATCTTCGCCCGGCGCAAGCGAACTGCTCACCGTACGGTCTGCTCACATGGCGAGACATCAGCGTTGTATATGCTGTCCGTTTCAATGCTGTATTGTCATTCTCTGCACCATACACATTGCAGAACGAACATCCTTTCCATCTGTTAGGACGGATGAAGACAAACCTGGTGCTCGTACCAAAGGGGTGGCTACTATATGCCCGTTGAGCCGTGGGAATAGCAGACCACTTTGATCGACCTCCGTAAGCCTTTTGTCTCGTCCAAATATCCAGACGGACGTCTGCACATCACTGGTGTACATGCAAATCGCTCTACGGAACCCTCTGAGAAAACCTTGTAGCTATGAGTGCTCGTCCCCGAACGTTGTAGAGGGTTTCCCCTTGGCATAGCCCGTCTTGACTCAGTGATCAGGAATTCCAGCCCGCAATCGACATAGTATTGTGCGAACCCGTGCGCATATGTGAGTGGCATTCTGGCCCTTTGACATGTCTGGTGCACTGTTCAAGAGTCCAGGACGTTTGCAAATTTTCGGGAAATAATAGCAATCCGGACTTTCAGCGATCCGGACTTCCGGCCGTCCTCAATTGCGGCTGTAGCCCAACCTAGCAAGATATGGTGCTTGTTCCTGCTCTCAGCGTGCTAAGCGTTAGAGATTTCAACGATGAGGCTGACGTTTAGACGAGAACTCACGCGTAGGTTTCCGTGCTTTCGCCTTCGCCATGTGCGCATCTTGTGCAGCGCGAGTACAAATGCACGGGACGCTGGTGGTCATCGGTGTCGTGTTCTTCCTTCACTTGAACAGCCCAGATTTTCAAGGCTCTTGGGACGCATGTTCCAGACATCCTCGAAGACGGTGTTGACCGATCCTGGTACATTCGCGAATGATGCGTGAGTCATCGCCAAATGTATTATGTTACATGCTATATTCATGTCTGAATGGCTATCTAGGGCAGTGCAGAACTATGTGTGTGTGGCAATGATGAGTGAGTCTCGAGCCGTGCACGACGAAGTAGATAGCTGAGCTATCTCCCAGCTCTCATACTCTGGGAGCATGTAATCACGCTTCCAGAGGAGATTCACTTCATCTGGCGACGAAGGCTGTCGAGAAGCACTGTCCTTTTTATCATAAATCGGTATGGCGTACTTTTGTACGGTGCTCTTGCGATTGCTACGGAGTTTGCGGACGGTCAAGCGGTGCGTCTTCGCACTTCACGAGCGTTGGACGTGAGCTAACAAAAATCGTCGGAACCTACAGAGGTCTGTCCCTTGGGCTTTGACCAGACTCTGTTACGTACAGCTCATGCAGTACGTTGCAGCTGTACTCATCTGACACGGGCCACGGAGAATATAGTCCTGCTACTGATGTTATTGTTTGGCAGTGAGCATTCTCATAACACTCCAGCTGCGAACACTGATCACCTATTAGTCTGCTCTGCACTCCGAGCGTCTGCCCTCTGGAACAAGAACCTGCAGCTCTTCCTAGCTGTCCTCACATTGAATCTGATTCCATTCGGCGTCAACATTGTACGCCTACGTTCCGCATCCAGATCGGCGGCGACACTGATCTATTGCGATTTCAAGCACTTATACATTTCTACGATACCTATGACAACCAGGACCACGACGACAGTATCATGTCTCTCATATATGCCTCTGACAGGTCATCAGCAAATACTGTGCGTGTTTAATGTATCTCATATACAAGGCTACATTCTCAAAGTTTTTCGTACAGGAGTGAGTGGTGGAGTAACCGTGTGCTCGATGCCCAGGCTGAGATCTGGCAAAGTGATAGCTACAGCGCGAGCTTCAACCATCCTCGCTGACTTTATCGTGTTATATGCGACATTGATCAAGACCTTCGAGACTCAAAGGGTCGCGAACAGTGTGCCCATGCAGGTTCCGCTCACCACTATGTTGATCCGTGACGGTCTGTAACTCCTGCCCTCTGCCCTCTAGTGTATGTATGCTGATTGGAATGCAGGCACGATATATTTCCTGTACGTCTTCCTCAGTTATATCGCGTGAGTCTGCTGCGTTAGGACTTAATCTCCGTGTCAGGACAGTCCTATCAATGAACATTGCTCAATTAATTGTGTTTCACACAACGGTACGCGCTCTCCTGTAGCATGCCACATTACGTGCGTACCTGACTCCACTCCTTAGGGGCAAGTCTACCTTGTTTCCTTCATTTGCACGTGAGTCACCGGTAGCTGACACGACACCTCGCATTGATTCTTTGACACACTCAAAAGCGTTACTGCGATCCTGGTATCGCGGTCCTTCTTGGATCTTGGAGAGATTGCAACAGGCGGGCTGAAATATGATATCTTCGGGCTGGGGGACGCTTGTGAGTGGACGACGCCCCTAGACCGTGACCTTGAGGAATTAGTGCTAGACACGCCGATTATCACAGAATGCGGATCTACTTCTGACTCGCTCGGGGCATCGCTTATAGACCTCTCGTCAGAACCACCTTCCAAATGGGACCTTCTTGATAGGTACAACTGAGACAGTGTTTCGTAGCCAGTGTTTATTTGAAACATCTCGTCGTTTGAGCGTCTTCATATGGAGACAACCTGGCATGAATACATTTTCGATCCAGGGTTGAATATATATCAGTCCTGCTAACTACACGCGAGAACACAAACCAATTATACAAGCAGTGTTACAGTAAATAAGTATAGGTCCTTCTAATACGAGGAATATATAAATAAATCATACACCATCTCCTTTCCATTTCCCGAGACCCACAAAACCTACATCCCTTCTGCCACATTAGAGGAATGTGATCTGGACGCTCGAGTTCGAGATCGTGACGGAAGTAAGAGTAGTGCCGTTCTGCTGTAGGTCGAAAATGGTTGCGCCAAGGAGGCCGAGAGAACCTGAAGGGGTCTCGGCAGATGCACCAGTGATGTTGATCGTACCAAAGTCGGTAATGGGGGTCGGATCGAATGAATCTATGAGAAAGTCTGCTTCTGCCAAGCACAGAGGGCCGGAAGTGATGGCCTCGGTGATGGTCTGGTTCGTGCTCTGGTTGGTAAAGACTGTCGTGCTAGACGTCGCGTTTGTCGCGGTGATGCTCATCGTGACGTTGTCGCCCTCCGAGATGATGAAGTCCGAGATGAAGTTGAAGCCGCCAGGGAAAGCCGAGGTAAAGGCTGTGAGGATATAGATGGTTTGTCAGCATGCGAGGAGGGCACGGAGCACGGACTGACCAACAAAGGTCACTGAACCATTCTGGATGCTGGAATCGATACCACTCAGGGTGCCGCCGGTTGAGCAGAACTGCCAATCAATGCCGATCGCGATGGCTGTGGAGTAGAGACTAGCCGGGTCCTGGCCCTCAGGCACACTAGGCGCCGTAACCACGAACGACTCGGTGGCACCTGTGAACATGCCCTATGCGGAAGTCAAGCCTGTCAGCACACGTATTGCACAGAGGCATAAGAGGAGACTCACTGCAGTCCCATTCAAGATGGCGCCAGCTAAGAATGTAGAGAACTGAGGTTGAGGGTTGGTCCTCGACTTGATTCCGCCGCGGGCACGACGAGCGATGCGGTCCTCGCGGCGGTCTTGGGGGACGGCATCGAGACAGCAGTCATTGCAGCGAGAGCCAGGACAAGAGAGGTGATGAAGTACATGGCGATGTGAGTGGTGTGGAGTCGAAAGAGCTGTGAGGCTGTCGAGCCAAGGAAGGCGAGGAATGTGTGGTTTGGCTATGGCGGTCGAGCGAGCTTATATACACCGAAGGCTTGTCCAGCAAGGACCTACGCGCCATGACGATCCTGCGGTGCATCACCATGCACAGAGCTTCGTGAGGCGGGGCAGGGTCTCGTCACGATCGCGGCCGTTGCGACTCAAAATGTCGCAAATTAGGGTTTCGAGCCTTGGGGCGACGTTTCGGACGTTTCAGACGGGATTGTGTTGACACAGCGGGCAAACTGGATGCAGGTTTTGCCTTACTATGATGGCCCCCTGGTTTATAAAGGCTCCTTGCTTTATAAAATCGATCTTGCTGCTGCAATATGCCCCCGGAGGTGCTGTGAATATTTCTTATGATGGACTTGTATTCATACTATAATATGACACCCATATTATGGCGGGTGTGCAGCAAGGGACGATATGATGTTTTTGTGGATGCTCGGAAGCGATCCAAAACTGGCCGAAAAATGCCACTGATGGCTAGATCCAACCAGATCTCGCTCACCAAATATTCTGGCAACTGCATTCATAGACTTTTGTACTTACACCAGACATGTCTGGTCAACATATTTGGTTTAAAAGGTGCTATGTACATGTATAGGGAAGGAACATTAGTGGAGCGTTACAATGAACGGGCAAGGCGTGATGAATTTGTCGCTCCGCCTGATCTCAGACAACTGAGGTTGACTTTGGAGAGGCGGCTCGGCTTCTCGGCAGAGGCACGGCTCGACGGCATCTGGTGTGACACTTGTTTGACGAAATTTATAAAAAGTGGTGCAGGACCTACTTTGTGCACCGGAAAGGATCCGCTGCTCTTGCAAAACCTCAATAAGATGTTATAAAAATACGGATATATAGCTAGACTGTGTGCACATCAACTCATGCAAAACCGCCCGCGAAGCATGGATGTGGTAAGCTACAGGATGCAGATTTTCCCAAATTTTATAAAGCAGGGTACCATCATAGTACTGTACCAAGACAAGAGTAAAACTCGCAACCTACATTTGTCTGTAAACGATACTGTACTGGATACATGTGTTCAAAGTTAACGTTCACGTGCGTTTCACGACACCCCGCCCCCTCACTTCACATCCCCTTGAAGCGTGCCTGAAGCAGCTTCAGTTTGGACTCGCTTTGATGGCAGTTTGACATTGGTTGAAAGGACTGACGCGG